GACGAGGTCCTGAAGATAGCCGACACCAACTAAGTTCCTCGAGAACGAGGGGATGTGCAAGCCTGTAAGAGAGCCCGAGGGAACCGCCGGACAGAGAAGGGTAATGGAGCTCCGGGCAACTACCGGACTTGAGGAGGGGTCAGCAAGCGGTACAGCGGCAAGGGCGGCAAGCAGCATGAGCGAAGTGTGGTCGCGAAAGAAGCAGGTGGACGCACCAGAGTCTAGCGTGAACGAGAGCGCGACGCTAGTGGCCGCAGGCGAAGGAGCTAGCATGGAGCCATGGCTAAACAATGCAAATTGTCCTACGCCAGACGCAGCAGGGGAAAACTAGACTACACTCAGTGGACACACCTACACTAGGCAACACTAGGATACAGTCACACTAGAGTCATCAACATACATAACATATATAGCAGACCTAATCTGGTCCATGTCAAGCTCAAAGACAGGCACACGGTGGCGCGCCAGGGCGTACCAGTCCGGAGGGTCCGACGTGGGACCAAAGCGGAGACGGAAGTGGTCATCGAGGCGGCGTAGCAGCAGGCGGCGGTGTGACCGGGACGGTTGCAGACGGTGCCACGGCGGGGGTTGGTCTGAAGCTGGTACTGGCAGGAGACCACACTGGAGCTTCCACCCAACACCGAGCTGCGCGGCGCACCACCACGACCACCACCACCAGCGCCACCAGGACACCATGGCGGCGGGGGTCCCCACGGCGGCTGCTGCTGCTGCTGAGGCTGCTGCTGAGGCGGCTGCTGCTGCAGCTGCTGAGGCTGCTGGTGCTGCTGCTGCTCTGGGCACCAGCCCCGGACCCCTCGTCTGCACCACCTCCCCGCCCCCACCTCCACCATCCCACCACCCTTCCCTCCGCCACGCCCCCCCTTTGTGCGGCGGCCCTTACCCGGACGCTACTGCGCTGAGGCCGCAGCTGCGGTCTCAGCAGCAGGGGTTGTCTCAGCAATAGCGGCAGAAATGCCAGAGTAAGTGCACTGGGAGGGAGCACAGCCCTGAAAGATAGGGACCGGCGTAGTACCGCTAGACTGAGCGATAGTGCACTAACGGGTCTCTATTACGGACAGGGCGGTGACAAAGCAGTGAGGTTGAGATCACTTGGGTGCTGACTAATGAAGTGGTCGCGGACAGTGGCTACGCGGTCTAGCAGGCGCGTGGCAATGAGGTAAAGGGTAGCACAAAGCGGCGGCAGGAAGGCATGAGCTGTGCCTCAGTGCTAGCGGCATGGTAGCTAGTCTCCACAGCGCGACAGTGAGTGGCAAGGTCAGCGACAGTGGGGAAGGATGCAAGGTCAGGGAACAGCATGGGGAGGATCAGGCGGCCAACAGAGGCTGAGGTAGGGTAGAATAGCGCACGAGACGGCATCTAAGTCTTCTTTGGCGTTTGAGACAGCGGTAAAGTGGGGACACTTAGACAGAAGGAGGGCGTAACTAATGGCAAGCTGAGCAACGACGTCGCGTGAATCCTAGACAACGCAGGCAAGCTCAGCAGTGACAAAAGCCTCACGCTCAGCAGACGTGGGGGGCGTCAGGTAGGGCAGCAGGCGGGGTGGGGCGAGGGAGCTACCGTCGACATGGACGCCAGGGAGTGGCCGTCCTGACGCGCCCGGTCAGCTGGTGGCGGAAGTCGACGAGCCATGCCTCAAACTCAACGGCGCGATCCTCCGCGTCCAGGCGGAGCAGAGAGTCCGTCATCACCACGGCTGCAGCAGCTGACTGCCGCTGACAAGGGGAGGACGAAAGCGGAGGAGGGCAATGGAGAGCGGTGAGTACGGTGGAGTGCGGTGGAGTGCGGTGGAGAGCGGTGGAGTGCGGTGGTGAGCAATGAAGTGCGGTGGAGAGTGGTGGAGACTGCCGCGGGAGCGCCAAGGCCGGCACGATGGGGGCTCCGGCTGGCGGCTACGGGCATCTAGCGGCGATGGGCGGCTCAGAGGGGAAGCCAAGGCCGGCATGATGGGGGGGCTTCGGCTGGGGCTACGGGCGTCTGGCGGCGATGGGCGGCGGCTACAGGCGGGCCAGCGGCTATGGGCGGGCTGGCGGCAACGGGCGGCCAGCGGGGAACGGGCGGCCAGCGGCTACTGCGGCTGGCGGCTACAGGTGGCCAGCGCTACGGGCGGCTGGCGGTTGGCGACTACGGGCGGCCAACGGCTACGAATGGCTGGTGGCAACGGACGGCCTGCGGCTATTGGTGGCTGGCAGCTACGGGCAGCCAGTGGCTACGGGCGGCTGGCGCAGCGGGGGCCAGCGGCGACGGGTGGCCAGCAGCGACAGGCGGCCAGTGGCGATGGGCAGCTGTAAGTTACAGCGGTGACAGGCAGCCAGCGGGCTACGGGCACCTGGCGGCTACGAGCGGCATCGACGGGCGGTGGGCAGCCAGGGGCTAAGGGCGGCCAGCGGGCTGGCGGCTACGGGCTGTTGGCGGCTACAGGTGGCCAGCGGCGACAGAGGGTCAGCGGCTACGGGCGGCGACAGGCGGCCAACGGCGGCGGGCAGCTGGCGGCGACGGGTGGCAGCGACGGGCGGCGGGCAGTTGGCGGCTAAGGGCAGCCATCAGGCTATCGCTACGGGCGGCCAGCGGCGACAGGCGACCAGCGGGCTGCGATCGACGAATGGCGGGCAGCCGGCGGCTACGGGGGACGTGCGGCTAGCTCCGGCTAGCGACGGGCGGCTAGGAACGAGCGGCTAGTGACGGGCGGCATGGGCTAGGGCTAGGACGAGGGAGGAAGCGCGGGTGGGCGGGATCCTAACCTAGCATGATACCATCTCAGAGTAAAAAGTTGACTAGAATGATGGGGTACAAACGAATATAACCTAAGGTGTTGTACTCTATTGAGCATGCACCTATCTAGCCTTTAACATATACAAAAATATGCTAACTGCTACTCCCTATTCCCATATAGCCCAATGATTTATCTGTCCAAATATTTGGGAAAAAATGATTGTTTATTATTAGATCACCTGGACGCGTCGAGCCTTCTTAGACTCTGATATTTATAATGATTTGATGTTTTTTTATTTCATGAATTGAATTAGTTACTTCGTAGGATTGTAACTCACGCTTCGTACGTTTCATCCGCAGAATCGGGGTGCAATTTTCGCGCGCAAAAAGGCGAGGCCACGTGCGACACCCATGTGTAAATCTAAACAGTAACTCTTCGCGTGTGGAAATTTTGGCGGAGTTTCATTTTGTGACCGAACGTGACAACCCATGTCCCCAACCGAGTGAGGTGCCGTGATAGAGACGAAGCTCGTCAGAGCTGCACAAGATTTGAGGGTGCTGGGGATTCAATCACTCAAGTATTTCGCATGCCATCACCACGGACAAATGAGTTTTCGCACGAGCACACGACGAAATGGGTGGGTATTTGTGGGGGGGGCTTGTGTCCGATGTTTGTTGCTAGTGTGCGACTCTTGTGAAGCGATCAGGCGACGGCGGTGCACAGTTCCGTGCGACGAAACCTTGGTCGGCAATGACTTGTCCCTTGCTATATGTTGGTCGCAGACGCAATTATGAGTGACTTAAACGGATCTCCCATTGCCCGTATATCGGGGGTTTTGGGAAACGATTCTGATTGGGCGCCAGGTTGAGCTGCGATAAGGCTGGGCATCGTCTGTATCGAATGACCAGCCATGATAGATTAGCCACTAAAAGTTACTGTTCGTACTCGCCGAGTGACTATCCGTCATATCTCGCATAGTGGTTGTGACCAGGCATATAAATGTCATGACGCAAAGGTGGTGCCATGCCGAGGCTGTGAAAGAGTTTAGGACTTGGAAAAATGCGTCTGGTTCGAGGTTCGGCTTGGCGAAACTTGCACTGTAGATATGGTTACCAGTCATTAACAAAATACTTACCAGCTCAAAACCTCGAGATCACTTTGTGACGATCGTGCTTGTTCGATCGACCACCCCGCTGTAGGTTCGACAATCCCCCAGAACTAACGGATTGCTTCGTTGATGCCAATAACCTTGGCGAACATTCTTGCGAAGTTTTCGCAGCGTTGTCAGGAACAACCCACGCGACGCCACCACGTCTTCGCGAAAATCACGAGCTGGTTTGAGTTGTTGCTATGTATGTGCGAAACGTGGCGAAGCTGGGTGTTGGCAGGCATGTGGAGCCGATCTCCTGTCCGCAAGCGAGCATTTTTTGTAAGTCTGTCCGACATGGGGATTGCCACGTTGACAGGTCGATCGCTCGTATGCGGGTCAGTTCGTAGGGTCTCCGAAAAAATGTGCAACCATGCAAAACGGACATGTTCCACGTCCTTGGGAGGAATCGCGCCTGGAATACTGACCCCATAATTATTGCTGACACAAATGCGATTCAGGAATTCGGATTCAGGAAATATTCATTCACCTTTTATATTTCAACCATTCTCGGAGCCGGATAGGTCTGGGTGGCTTGCTTTCCATTGGCCATGCCGGAAAACTGTGTGTGTGCTTGCAAAAATACTGGGACAACATCGCCTATACTCAAATTATGCGTGCTCGTGATTGGGTAGAGATGCGCACACCCGCCTGGCATAATTTGAGAGTTTGAGGTAATTCCCGAAACATATTGGACCAATTTTGTGAAGGGTGGATGCCAGCCTATACAATATTTACTCAAAATATTCTCCTAGGCTGTGAGACGAAGACGTGACGACAGTGACTTTGTCGGACATGAGAACTGACATCATCAGCACTAACTTCGCTTACCACCCCAGCTCAGCATGGACTTCTTCCGCGATGTTTCTTCCCATCTGAGCGCATCGGATCCCACCGCCATTCGTAACACGTGATGCTATACAGACAGGCGTTAGTGGCGCATCCAGCTTTTCCAGCAAATGACTTCGGCACTCGGAGTCTGAGTCAGCTCGTCACGCTTACTAGCGCAGTGCTACTACACGTATTTAGGACATCGGGTTTTTTTTTTTGCGATGACCGAGAAAGGCCTTCCTCGCGGTCCAAGTACTGTACATCAGAACCGACAAATCAGATACTGGATATGGTTTGGTGGCATGGCTCTGAGCCGTCCTCCTCATCCTTCACGAGGGTGCCTCTGGCCCGGACGCTCATTGGCTGATTCTAGAAAAGCCTCAGAAATCGTCTCGAAATGCACGGTGGAGAACGCTCGTCGACCCGGGTTACTAAGACGGTTACATGCACGGTGAAGATTCTGTGGGATCATCATCAAGACAGCAGAGGTACAGCATTTTGACCGGAGCTCTTAGGAGAGAAGAACGCTTGGTTGGATTGTCTCCTTCGGACCGAGTGAGCTTGACTGTGCATACCGCCTCACGGCCAGTGAGTGAGTACTGTATTTCTTCAACCAGCTCTCTTAGAAGTGTCTCATTGTCAAATCACGTACAACTGTACCCCCGTCTGCTCACCTCACTACGCGCTCGCTTGCTCACTCACACATCGTGGCACACCCCATAATACTTTACCACCAAAGTCCATCTTCGGAGCTTGAAGCCTGTTATCAAAGCTGGACGCCCGGTTCGGAGCCTGAAGCCGGATATTGGAGGTTGAAGCTTCTTATCAAAGCTTTAAGCCTGTAATCAAAGCTTGATGCCTGCTATCAAAGCTTGGAGCTTGTTATCGGAGCTTGAAACCAGATACTGGAGCGTGAAGCCCACGCTCAGAGCGTGAACGAGACTGTGAAAAGCTTTCAATAAGATTTGTCGTTCCGACAATGGCGGAAAAGTCTTCCCGACACATTGGTCCCCTCTGGACGCGCGAGGTAAGGGCGCGCTGCAAACGGGGCTCTAGGGCGGATAGGGGCCCGTACAAGGCAGGCCACACACAAGTGGAATGCGCCCTGCTGCTGCACGTGCCAGTGCCATCCCTCTCATACCTTCTATCCGCCCCCCTCTCACTCATACCTCCTATCCTCTCAAGTTTGTTCCTGCTTCCCCCTTTCACCCTTTCAGGGGGACCACACGCTCAGAGTGCTGCTGCTGCTGCTGGCGCTGCTCACCATTCCCCCTCCAAAACCCATACTCCTATATGCGAATGCTCTCAGGAGGCAGCGGGGGCCGTTCTATACCCCTCCACCATTCTTTCTCTCGTATTACCCCCTGCTTGTACTCCCTTGCAGGAGGACCGCAACCTGCTGCTGCACGGGCGCACTTTCAGTTCTCCCTGCTCCCAGCTTTCCGCTCTCAACACTCTCACGAGGACCGCCGCTACTGCTGCACGTGGCGGCGGGTTCTGCCTTGCCTTAACCATTTCTCCCCACGTGCTTCCGTCTCTCCCCCCTTGCCCATCCCAGGAAGACCGCACCCTGCTGCTGCATGTGCGGCTCACGGCACGAGGCAGTGGAGGGCCATTGCCAAGGCAGGGCTGCTGCCAGGGCGAGCAGCAAGGCGTGCTGCAACCGATTCATCGTGCTCAAGAGGTGATTCCCACGGTGCTTTCAAGTTAGATTTTTTAGTGTCCGTAGAGGCTGACTTGCTGTGGCAATCTTCTCAGAAGCTGGCATAGCGCTGTGCCTTATGATGTTGGCATGTGATGACTTGCAGCTTGCATCTTCCATTCCTCATACCACCGCCAGTGGCAGTGCCTTACTAACCCTTGTCGTCTTTGTTTTTCTCTGTGTGTATTAATGCAGGAATTTTTTCAAACGTCAAAAGCTCAGCTTCTGTCTGAACCAGCAGCACAGATGATAAGTGGTGCTACCGCCTACATGAGCGAGTCAATGGAGTCAACAGAAGCTGCTTTCGAGGCTTCAAAGCAGAGCCGTGCGGCGACCAGCCCAATCCTTTCCCACTAGCCTCGTGCCAGCATCCATCAGCCGGCCAGCGACTCGCCCCACTTGTCCCAGCTGGAAGCATCCTGAGCGAGTCAATGAAGTCAACAGAAGGCGCTTTCGAGACGCCTAAACAAAAGTCAACAGGTGTAATGCATGTTGCTCTTCCATGCAGGCGGTTGCATTATCGCCACCCGTGCCAATTTCGGTGTTTCGACATGACCTCGCATCATGTCTTCACTGGTAACAGCAGCAGCAGCAGCAGCAGCACCGCCAGCAGAACCAGCAGCAGCACAGCAGCAGCCTCAGCGGCAGCACCAGCAGCAGCAGCATTAGAACCAGCAGCTGCAGCATTAGAACCAGCAGCTGCAGCATTAGAACCAGCACCACCACGCCAGCAGCACCAGCAGCAGGAGTCTGCTCTGTTCCCGCATCTGGAGAGGCTGACATCGAATCGGCACCTCTTCCAACTGTGGGAGGCATCACTCCTGAGACTTCTGAAACATCAACCCTTCTGCCTGCATTCCCTCACTGCAACACCTTTCCTACACTCCCCAAGCTGCAGCCCTCTGCCAATGCAAGTGCCTTTTGAGTTGACTCAGCAGCAGCTCTTTGAGACGACTCAACTTTCCCCAAGCTGCAGCCCTCTGCCAACACAATTCCCACTTCTCGCGCCTCTAGCAGCTGCTCAGGAGGATAGAGGCACAGCAGTAGGTGGGAGCAGGGAATTGGGGTGGAGCATGAATGCTCACCGAGGGAACAGCAGGAGCAAAGGAATGAGCAAGAGCTTGTGCAAGGGTTTGGGCAAGGGCAGTGACCAGGGTATGAGCAGCCACTGTAAGGCTCAATGCCTTGACGGGCCAAATTGCACTAGCCAAGGTGGGAAGCCCAGTTTTCTGGCTTGCTACTGATAAATACTTGCAGCGGGAGGTACACTTCAGCCTCAGCAAGCCAAGTGCAGTATCAAAGCCTTACACTCTGATGTATGGTAATCTGCGGCCAGACGCCCTTCTTGAAGCCATGTGTGGGGGGCTGCTCTATTAATAATTTTCTTGATTGATGCTTTCTTTGTTCGTTTTTTGTGATTGTGCATGTGTAAATATGGTTCTAGTTGTCCAGTTACATGAGTTGATTACACAAGTTGTAAGCTATGTTAGCGTACATTTGTATA